CAAGGACCTAAATGAATGAATTTGAAGTTTTAGGATCAATATCTTATAAAGTAGAAGCTGAATGACCACATGTGCAATTTTACCATTAAGAAATTTCAAAAGGATCCTTAAACCGACACGGATTGATTGTCGACACCACCTTTGTAGGTATCAATACTATGCATTAAGACTTTGGAAAATCTTATGAAGTTCGAGGCATAAGTGTTGATGCCAACATTGCGATATCGATACTCTAAGCAATACCATCACCATTCTATCCAAAATTGACTAAACTAAAAATATTTTAAAATGAGCAACAAATAAGAAAAAAAAATTGGGAAGGACAAGAGGCAAAGTTACTTTTTCGACCAAGATCCCAAGAAACTCAATCTTCTTCACTCAAGAAATAATAGATGGACAATTGATTTCGATTCTATGTGTTTCATTTCATCTATCTCTAAATTCAACCATATTAAATCTGGAGCTCTTAATTGCAATTTTGGTCTCATGAACTATTGACTTTATAGTTTATTCATTACCATACAAAAAGAATGAATTGAAGAATTGATAAAGTCACAAAACTAATTTTAAATTGACAAGATAAAGAGGATAATCTTTTTTTAATCTAAAGTTAGATAAAGGGATAACTGACCCCAATGTTCTTTAAATTAAACAAAGAGAGTATTTCTAATATTTCATTTTTCGTTAATTAAAATGTGTTCAATTCTTGGAGCATGTATTTGGTTTGGAGGAATGAGTATTTGTTGTCAAACCATATGAACAAGACAGGATTAAAAAATTGGTCAAACTCTCAAATTCACCTTTAAATAAGAGGCAATAATAGATCTATCTCTATAAAAAAAATGGACAAATTACCTTTTTAAATTGTTAATCAAATAAATGAGTCATTATTTAATGGTTGATATCCTTAAACATTAATTTTTAGTTAAAGACAATTAACAAACCGATTCTTGATGTGTGATGACACTAATCGTTAAATAATAAGTCATTTATCTCAATCGATGATTTAGAGAAACAATTTGTCTTCCATACCTTTTTTTTTTTTTTTTTGGAGATAGATCTATTCTTACCCTTCTACTTTGGGTGAATTTGGGAGTTCGACTTAAAAGGTTTAGTTGACAAGTTATAAATAAAGAGAACAAGATTGATTATTTTCTTCTTCTTTTAAACAATCAGTATAAGAACTAATCCCCATGGCCATAGGGTTTGGGAAAATTGCACTTACCCTATTGCTTCCTTTTTCTAATTAGTTAAATAAATTTTAATTTTTTATTTATTTAACTAAGAAATAATCATTCTGCTAACCTAACTTTTAATCTTGAAGTCCCTATTGCCTCATTATTAAGGGAATGATGGGCACAAATGATATCAATTTGAGAAACATAAGATAACATAGATTAGAGAAGCTGTAATTGTTTTGCTACTACATGTTCCCTTCAACAGAGAAGAAGAAGAAACACAATGATATCAACCCAGCTGCCTCCTTAATTACATTGTAGGAACTTTGCAGGACATTGGGCCTCCTCCCAACAAGGCCCACCCATCTTTATGGAATCACCTAGTTTATGATTACTGTATCAACTGCTTTTGCTTCTGTTTCCTCTCCTTACCATATGATTGGGAGCTTATAGGCAATGCCATTGCCTATCCGTCTAGGATTAATTAGCATTTATTGAATTGATGATAGAACCATAGAAAATGACGCAACCCTAATGTCCTTTCGCTGCTTTTGAAAGAATGTAATCCTACAATATTATAGTGTAAGTTGTTATCTAGGGAATGTTCCCTATGGTTGGGGAAAGGAGAAATTTTTTTTTGAGATTAATACATATTTACATTACAAGTTATATAGATTTACTTAAATAAGAATTTTATACATAGTATTTATACAAAATATTAATCATTTGTACTTTAAAGGATTGAAATTCGTTATGAGCACTTTTTAATTTAAAAGATAATTATCTTTAAAAAGTAAGATAAAAAGTAAATAAATCTCAATTATTTATACTATAGAAAATTTTGATTAAAATTTTGTGAAAGTAATTTGTGTAAGAATTATGTACATTACTCTTATGTGATATACATAATTATGTATATAATTACTTTCTTTACCTTTTAATTGTTCTCCTTAAACTGATTGTAACTTGAGAAATGGAAAATTTATTATGCGTTTAGGAGAAAGAAACAGAGGCAGTTAGAGTAATTACTTCAAGAAACATAACGTGCATATAATAAACTTTTTACATATTATTGATTGCTCTATTAAACATCTGAAGAATAGAAAATTAGAAAAAAGATTTATTTCTACAGTCTTCTAGTATCTAATAGAAGAAGGGGTTTGTTGAAGCTAATGTTATTATCCGCATATAATCTTTTGATGATCATATCTAATATGATTATCCACACGTACAGTTTTTTGATGATCGTATTAAGAATTTGAAACCGAATTTCATCTTCGTAAATAATTGTACCAAGAACCTAAAACCGAATCCACATATAATCTTTTGATAATCATATTAAGATTTTAAAACTAAACTCCATCTCCTTAAATGATTATATCAAGAAACTAAAATTGAATATAATAGAAGGAATAAAATAGAGAATTACTTTTTATTATGTAATTCATTCATACATAAAAAGAATGGATCATATATACATATATATATATGAATAGGAATTCATTTATATATATTCATATATGAATTTTATATACTACACTTAATTATATAAAATCTTAATTATTTTTTCTTTACTTTAAATAATTGTGATTTAATCACTTTTATTAAATAATAATAATAATAAATTTATTATTATCATTATAAAAAACATGTAAAACAAAAAAGTAACGAATCAATAACATTTTTTTATTGATAAAATCAATAACAATTTCAAATGCAATCTTTCTGACCCTCTATAATTGATATATAGTGGAGATTGCGTAGCTAAACTACATTTCTTTATATTTTAAGTGTTACTGACTCGTTACACCTCCATGGTACAAATTAAAGTATGATTATGACAATTTAGACGAAATCTAATTAAGACTTGGGGGCTACTGTTAACTGTCAAGGACTTATTGGTTTAGACTTTAAGACTTTAGACTTATACTCCATTTACACTGGTTTAACTCTTTGTTAATCCACTACCACCCAAGCCGCTCTGCTATTTATTGTTCTTAAGGACCACATCCGGCTTCCCTTCTATTTTCTCGCACGAAGGACACATTGAAAGCGTCGTAGCCTTTGGAATTTGGATGAACAAAGGCGGTGGCGCGGCCGCTTTCAGGGACCGCAGCTCTTGCAGCTCCTTCTTTAGCCTCCGGTTCTCTTCGCTTAAGCTCTCACAACACTTCTTCAAGAATTCACAATCTACTTCCGTTTGCTTTAGCTTAGTCCTGTAACATATTTACAATTAAATGCCTTGTTCTTCGTCAAAGTAATATTAACACACAATTAATTAGTTAATTAATACCTTGCCCTTCTGTTCTGAAACCAGACTTCAACTTGTCTCGGTTTTAGATTCAATTGCTCTGCAAGTGCTTGTTTCTTTGCCTGTATATAAATTCATTTTTCTGATACATCTAAGTTATACAAGAGAAAAATAAAATTTTTTGAAATATATAATCAAACACTCAAATCTTGAAATAAATAAATATTGAGAACGTCCCTAATTACAAAAAAAATTAATTGTTTGGAATATATACATGACTAATCCTTTACATGTAACAAAAATATAATAATCATATCCCTATTTCCTTTCAAATTTTAATTTTTAAAACTTATAATTTTAAAATGTCGAATATTGTTAATTAAATTGTAATAACATTTAAAAAAGAAGCTACAAGGATTGTACCGGATTAAGGGTGGTGTGCAATTTGAAGCTGTTTTCAAGCAAGCTTGATTGCTCCTTGGTGAGTCTCAATTTCTTTCTTCCACTGATGTTCTTGCTGTTATTCTTACAGTCACGCTTTTTATCTTCTTCTTCTTCCATAGTTCTGGAGGACGAACTATCCACCTTGGGAGCTCCCTCTCTCGGGCACAGTGCAACTGAGAGATCTAAGCATGGCGGCGGAGGGCTGTCCTTCTGACTCTTCCCTTTTGGCAGATAGTATCTGCCGACGCTAAGTCCGAGGCCGAGTCCGGTATTGCACTCTTCTTCATCCGCCATGGGTGAGAAACAAAGGGAGAGTTAGGGATGGGAGAGTTGGGGCAAAAGAGGGGAGATTTTATACGGTTTTAATTAATGGGATGGAATCAGTTATTAGTAGGATTTGATTTAGTAATTATAGTACGTAGTAATGAGAAGTAGAGTAATGCATATGCGTTAGAATTGTGACTCCTCTTGGGGAACATAAACTCTCATAATGCCAAACCTTTGCCATCTTTGACTTTAGCCTATGCACTTTTTCACACCGCCATCATGTATCGTCATCCCCTCTTCCTATGCGCCCAACGCCTACGAATTGATAGAGTTCTAAAGATTTTAAATTTAAATTTCAAAATAAAAAATTATTTTTTATTATATAATCTATCAATATATATATTTCTATATAATTGTAAATGATCTCCTTTTGATATATTTTTTTTTTTGTGTATTTTAAAATTTTAGCCCAATCAATTAGTCAAACTAGTTGATTAATAATCATTCATAAAAAGGATTTGACTAGTTATTTCTATCTAATGATTTCCTTTTTAATGGTGTTTTGAAAAGCAGAGCGAACTGGCCAATCGAATTGATCAAAGCAGTGGCTAATTTTAAAAATAGTTTAGTTAAGGGTACAATATAAGATCATTGGTGCAATTAAACCAATAAAAATCAGTGAGAATTGGTGAACCAACATCATTCAAATAACCAAGCAGTTTACTTTTTATGTTTTTTAATTTTAATTTCAAGCTAAATAAGAATATAAGTAACAAGATAGTTTCAATATAAATCAATAATCAATGGTTAAAATAGTTTGACTACTAATCAATTCTTATATTTAGTTATTACCTTGTGTCAAAATAGTTTAGCAAAATTTATTTGGGGTCAGATGAATTAAGATCCATATGATCAAACTTAGTTTATCTAGTCAACTAGATGTAGTTATCAATATCACTTATAAATTCATAATATTGGAATTAGAAAATAAGAAAATACTTGGATTCTTCTGTTATACGTTCAAAATTGGAGGACCAGGTGCTTCAATTCACCGTTTGGGGCCTTTGGGTTCTGCACTTGGACTTTGGGCCTAATGAAAAGTGCGTCATCTCCCAGCCCAGTGTTGGGGTTTGGAAGTCCAACGATACTTATTACTTAAACGCATAATTTCCTTGATTTTATATAACTAAGCCCTTAAATTCCAATTCGTGGTTTAATTAAGTTCTTGAATTTCCACTGGTGGGAAATTAATCACTTTTTTCTATGGATGCATCTATTGCACTTTTTAGTAATTAATTTTTGCATGGTCAATGAAAATCATTCACATGACATTAGTTTTGAAAATAGAGTTTGCCAAGGAACAATTTAAAGGTATATTTATTGTACTTTTTTGTAATTAATTATTATAGAAAATTACAAAAGTTACGTTTATTTTTATCACTAATGCCACATGTAAATTTTTAATTAGATGATTGTTAAAATTAAAGTTAAACTTTAATTTTTCTTTAAAAATTAATTGTAAAAAGAGTATAATTAATGTACCTTAACTTGTGCCTATTAGAAAAATCCAAATTATATCCTTTTTTTGTATTTTTCAATGATAATTAATTATTAAAAAGTATAATAAATACACTCTTTAAATACAAGTTAGAAAAATCCTTCTTCTATATATTAATGTTCAAATTTAGCTAATACCATATTGATTTTCTTGTGTACTATTATTAATACCATAACCCAATCATTACTTAGTGGGGGCAATATGTAAATTTTTCAAAGTTTCAAAAGTAATTGTAATTATAACCCCAATGGTTAAGTTATATTCAAAATTCAAAGTTTTGGTACTAGTACTTAAAGAAATATTAATTTTTTTAAATGTATCAGATCAATATGAATAGTATATTAGTATGCCTTTAAAATTACCTAAAAAAATATTAATCTTGAGATTTGTAAAAATCAATTGAAGACATCTAACCATAAATTAAAAAAAAATAATTGTAATTATCATTCAAACTAGGGGAGGCTTTTAAAATGTCTTCTCTCATATTACTCAATTTTATCTTTGTCCTCTATCCATTGCGGTCCCTCAATGTAAAAGGTTTATGATCGCAAATAATAATAAAAAATAATTATAATAATGTAAAAGGTTTACAAAATTGAGGCCTTTTCTTGGTAAACCTAACCAATATTTTAAAATTTGAGAGAAAGAGAGCAACTCCCACAAATCTTATCATATAATATACAAAAACAACATAATTATAATGTTATGTAATATTGTAAATTGATAATATAATATATCATTATATATTTCATTCTTTTTATTCAGAAATATACATATGATATTATATGCATCTATTTATTGGATAATATATCATACTCATTTAGTGCTACATCAATATTGTAAACTTACAATTTTATGAAATATTGTAATTATAGCATTTTCGTACAATATATAAATTACCTTTCATTCATATTATTATCCCTAATTTTTGAAAAAAACAAGTTCAAAATTATACCACTCCCAAGGAAATTGTGAAGATTAGCATGTGAGTTTCAATAAAAAAATTTCATTCAACTTAAAATTAATTAACAATGTGCCTTCCATCAAATCTAAAATCAATTGGCAATATATGAAATAAAGCTTTTCTTGTATTTAACTCACAAAATTTGTTGTTATTTGTTTGATGTAGGATTTTTCACTAAACACATCCTCCACATGTGCAGACTCGTATTAACTTTGAGATCAGTCACATGGATCTTAGGTTACAAACTTAAAAGCCCCTTCTCATGTGCAAATTTAATCTATCATGTGGATCTAGGGCTAGTAAAATGGGCTTTATATGCCCTCTTCTTGCGAAAGACCAAATTGTTATAGGATCTCGAGTTTTTCACAAACAGAATTTAGATTTTGGTAAGATATGAAAATTGTACATAAATAGGTTTCAATACGCAAGACGTGCATTTAATTTAAATTTAATTGATAATAAATAAAGTAGCATTATATTTCTTATATTTAACTCTCTCTTTTTTCTTTTTTTTTTTTGTTATTTGTTTGCTGTTCGGGATTTTCCCACCTAATAGAAACGAAGAAAAACACTTCATCAATTCTCAACCATTTTCATGATGTTAAATACAGTAAAATCTTTATTCCCCATGCCATTTTCATCATGACGTTACCCATGATATAGCCAGCTAAAGCCATTTTTATATTTAATTAATTAATGCTAGCTATTTTTTTTCTTTACTCCACTGATAATCTAAGGGTTAATGTTTAAAGAGAGAGATAAAGAGCAGCATCGCGCCAGGTAAACTCAATTTCTTGGCCTACTTGGAGATCAATGTTCTTGTTAGAAAGCAATTGTTTGGTTCCCTTGAGCAAATAAAAACTTCCTGCATCTAACAGCTTCATGGTGTAACGATCCCCAGTTCCCGCATCAGCTACTTGAATCTCTATACCCTTTTCACCTTTTCTCAAGATTTCCTTCTCTTCATCGTTCAGATGTGGAAGAATGTTTTCTTCAACATGATTCTTCTTCAGATGGAGTTGTTTTTGTTCATAATGATCCACATCTGATTTCACAACCCTTTTTTTGAATGACCATTTCTTTGAATCTGAGCTACTCGATGATGCTTTCTTCTCCCCCATGAAATCGTAATAATTGTTGTCGCGGTTGCTCCCCATATATGCTGCATAACCACATCCAGAGATTAATTAGTTTCTTTAATTAGTTCTATAACTAATGATCAAAAGTATTTATGAACGCTCTATGTCTTAATTAACATCGAGAAAAAGAAAAATATACAACTTAAAAGAACAATTACGACTGACTCAGAATAGCATAGCATCTGACTCTACAAACAAAAAAGAAAGACAACAGTTGAAAAAGAATAAGAGAAGATGAATACCTTAAAGCGAAATTCTTTGAAGTTGTCTCCTTGACTTTCGTATTTTGCCAGTTCCAGTATTGCATGCAATATATAGGGTGAGAATTAGGTTGTGGTGTTGGACTAATTGTCTTTTTAAAGTTATGTGGGATCCATTTGGAAATCAATTTTGTATCTTAACTTTGGTATTAATTTAATGTTTTAACCCCGCCAGTATACAACTGGCAAAATTCCTAGTTTTGCTCCCAATATGGCAATGAGAAAAGTAAGATATAGCCCCAGTGGACCCGGCTATCTTGTTTAGATTCTCGGTTATAAAGAATTATTTATTTAAAATTATTATCATTCAATAAGTTGCAGTGACCTTTACATTTTTTTAAATAAATAAAAATTACATTCATAATATAAATTTTAAACGATTTTTTTTATTTTAATTGTATAATAGGAGGCAATCATTTTCCATCTTTTATTTTACTCCACCTACATATCATGCGATTCGAATTCAGGATTTCTTAGTTTCAACAAAAAGAGATTATCACTGAATTATTTAATTCGTTGATAAACTTTAAACGACTTGCACAAAAAGATTTTATCACATTTACTTCAAGAGACAATGATTTTTGGCTACTTTCTCCACAAGTAACAAACGGTGGAAATGATCATTTGGAAAAAAAATTTCTTTGATGTGTGGATTATATTAGAGTGAATAACTGTTCTCCTTTCATTTTCCTAGAAAAAAAAAAAAAAGAAAAGAATTGCACTAACTCGTTTATCAGTCTTCAGTTGGTTCACAGGCATTGTTTTTTAAAGCAATGAGATTTTTTTAATGTCTACAGGGTGGGGGGATGCATGTTATGATAAGGAGAGATTTAATTGACTCGATCATCGCTGACGCCACTCTTTTTGGTTTATTCTCCCTACTATAATTTCTTTTATTAAGAACAAAGCAATGCATCTTTGCTTTTGATATGTCGATGTAAAGGCTTTTAGCCAAGGAGCTGGATTGGAGGCTTTTTCTTTTTGAGAAGGTAGAAGTTTAGAAATTTATTAGGAAATGTTACTTTTTTAGTATTTATATTTCTTATAAATAAATTTTTAAACGGCATCTTAGAAGTATAATTTGGGTATTAAAATTATTAAAATGTTATTAATAAAATAATGTAAAAAAGATTTATTAAATGTATTTTAATATATTTATAAATAGATGAAAAATACTTTTTCATTTAAAAAAATGTTTTTATAAAATAGTCATAAATTCATTAATAAAGGAGTATACTACATCAAATAAATTTATAATAGGCATCATATAAGAAAAAAAAATTTTAAATTATGTAGCAGACCATAATTCTGAAATAGACCCACCAAAAGTTTTGAAGTTATAGTTACAACATATAGTAATAGGTAATAAATGTTCATAAATATATCTAAAACTAAAATATTACAAAATTAATCGTTATAAGGGCACAAATCAAGGTTATAGAGTAGTTAAACAACCATTCCGACCTTCTTTGAGACTTGGAAGTCTTTCCTAATATATCAATTTCGACATCGAGGTAAACAAATTAACCACCCATATGCTATCTCCTCTATCATGGTAGAATTCAATAAAAATATTGAGAAAACCTAGGCAGAAACCCTAAGAAGGAGAAAAACACTAATTGAGAGAGAAACCTTCACAAAGAAGAAGAAACTCCACCCTTTTGTTTATTTTCCCTAGCCATTGTAGAAGAGAGAGGTTGCGA